TTACTACTGGTAAAGTAAAGATCAGTGGTGATGGTTCCAACATTGGGAAAAGACTTCAACTTGAAAATGTCACATACACAATTTTGACTGAAAAGGATGTAGCAATGAATGAAAAAGGGAAGTGTTTTCTAGCAATGATTAAGACAACAGAGAACTATGACAATCTTAAAGAAAGCCTCGCTGATCTAAATAACAAAATGTCAAATTTAAAATAAATAACTGTAAATAATCATAAGTATAGCACTGTGTATTCTTTAGGAGGAGACTGGAAGTTTCTGGCCCACATTTGTGATCCAGCAGCTACAAATCAAAATTTTGCTTGTATTTGGTGTAAGTGCCCAAAACATGAAAGGTTTGACATCAACAAAAAGTGGTCTTTAACTGACAAATCTCTCAGGGCAAGAGACTCACACAAAATAGGTAAGCATGCAGAATCTAAGCAACATAATTGTAAAACCAATCTCTTGTTTGACTTTATTCCTATTGACCATGTTATAATTGATACACTACATATGTTTTTGAGAATATCTGATAATTTAATTGAACTTCTGATTGGGGACTTTACAGAAAAGATGCCATTGACAAGGTATCTACTTTTTCAAATGGGTTTGTCAAAATAGGTATAAACTCATGGCTGGGTATGAGAAATTTGTTAAAGAACTTGGAATTAATTTTGAATGGGAAATCAATAAGGACACCAAGAAGTTGGAGTACAGAGATCTTACTGGACCTGAAAAACTCTTGGTTTTAAAACACATAAATTTCCACTTCCTATTATCAGAGTTTCATGATGCAGATAAGCTGCAAGCCCTTTGGAGTAATTTCAGAGATATTATAGGTGATCTTAAACTAAATTACACCACAGGTCCTACAGATAGTGCTATCTCTAGCCTTGAAGACAAGATGAAAATATGGTTTCAAAAATTCCTAGACCTTCACCAAGCAAAAGATGTAACAATGTATATGCATTCTTTGTATGCTCATGTGCCTGAATTTTTAAAGCTATACCAAAATTTAGCATATTACACTCAGCAAGGTATGGAGAAGTACAACAACACTGTAAGGACTTCTTTAGATCATCTAATCATAGAGAGGTTTCTGCACTAAAGCAACTTTTCTTGAAAAAACACAGAATACAGCTTTTGGAAGCTACTGGTTTGGAAAGGGTGAAGTAAAGCTACAACTGTGGACACTTCAACTTCTGACCATACCATCAAATAATGTACTGCAAAATGCAGCAAATGTGATGCTCCTACTTTCTGTGCCCATCTTGTTGAAATAGATGGTAAATGGAAGCCAAGCTGTGATTTTATCAATCAGTAATCATATAATATATCAATGTATTAAAGGAGTGTATTACCCAATAACTGTTAGTAGAAGTTGTGCTAAATCAAAATATATTAATGATGGACCATATTTTTTAATCCACATCTGTTGCCATCTCCACGGACAAATGTAAAAACGACTTGATGCCCGTTGTGACATCGGTTCCAATCGCATTACGGGCAAATTATTTTCATTGCATGGCCTCCACTCGTCAAATATCTCACTGTACCCTTTGAAATGAATTTTAAGCATGTTTCTCGCTTTTTCGACCTGTGTTATCTCTACAGGATAAATATCCTTATCCGTAGTTTTTATTTTCTTGCATTGCTTGGTCTTAGCTTCTACGCATTCGTCAATAAAACTCGGAATCTTACGCTCCTGCTTCGCTCTATTGACTGCCATTTTTAACATTGGCGCTCTTTGCATATTTAATTGCACTGCGCATATCAGGTGAGTAATAGGAGGCTTGGGACCAATTCAAGCAAATTTTCAGTTTTGATAGAGACTTCACTGATGGAAAAAAAATGAAAAATGCACAATGGCCGGAACATTTATCTCCAAAATCTTTGAATTAGATAGGCACATTTCCTACAGAAAATCCGTCCTCAGATCCACGGAGAAAGCCTTTTTTTTCGGAAACTATACGTCTTAAAATTCTCCTATTCTCCAGATAACCTGTGGAGCACGCATTGTTCGCGCGGCGCCGAATAATTCTCTCGCTGCCCCTTGAGCTAACTTGAGAAAGAGAGGCTGTTTAAAATCTCGATGAATGGGAGAATTAATATACAGTCTGCATTCAATAACAGAGTGCGAACTGAACCACCTAAGAAACAAAACCTTGCCATTCTGATCCAAGCTCTAGTGAGATCGAGCTTGAAGCCTTCAAATTCCGCGCTCCAACGCTCCACCATTGAGCCACAAAGGCTGAGCCAGGCGTCCATTCAGTTTATATGTAACAAGCGTCTCACATACCGCAAAGAGCAGCATATATCTTACTTCTGAGATGCGTTACGCCAACTTACTTCGAAAATTTAGGGTTCTTCGATTTAAATTGTCTTCGTTCATCTCTTCCTCTGTAATATTATTATGACGCGAAGCAGCCATTTTGTACTTAAGAGCCTACAATCACCTCGCGCAGGTAATTAGGGACTGGTCATAATTTGTCGCCTGAGGGTGGAGGGGAATTTGGGGGGAGCATCACATAGTTTTTAAGAAAACAGAGGGGGGGTCAGCCCTTATTGACAGGAACCAAGGGGGGGACCATGAAAAAGGGAGAAGTTTATTACTTTTTCAATGATCTTTTATTCTTTAGCTGAGTTTCTTGTTCAGACACAATGTTATATAAATAAATAATCAATGGTTGTGCTTGTTTATTAAACGTGATACTTGAAAAAGCTAAAGTTTAAGTTCTGTAATTTAAATGTATACAAAGTTCCTTTTTTTGAATTGTCTAGAGTCAGTCCCGAGAGGCGTCCCCGCAATGAGAAAATTCGATTAACGCAGCGGTACGCCGTCATTACAGAAAACAACATCAGAAGTAAGAAATATATATGTCATATTTCCTACAGAAAAAACTGTCCTCAGATCTGCAGGCCGTAGGCCTTTTTTTTTCAAACTATACGTCATAAAATTCTCCTATAGATATTTATTGTTTTTAAACTTGACGAATTCTTTCGCGCGGAACCCTGAATGACTTATGGCCGTAAATACGGCAAGATCTTCCATAAACTGAACAATTTTTGAGTGAGTAAATGGTAGTTAAAATAGAGGTGATGCAAATTCAAGAGAGATGCCTCAGCGAAACATTTTCATTTCCGTAAAGATAAAGGTGATTTAAAACTTAAAACAAACTTTGAAACATTATTTTTACAAGTATCTGTCACAATCTGACATCTGTCAATTAGAGAGCGCGCAAGAAAAAAAAATCGTAGGAACATTTGAAAACCAACAGAACTAGTTTGGCAAGGACTGTCATGACAATGTTTTCTTCAAAATCAGTTAATGATCTAACGGAAAGTATTATTTACTCTCATCGACCATAAATTCATGTACGAAGATTCCTTTGTTCATTAAGTAAACGGCGAGGAAAGTAATTGTGAGTAAATTTATTTTTTTATTTTGAAGTTGTGAGAGTTTGCTCGTTTGTTTGCTGTAATGGCGTGTTTAACTCTGATCTTTCCTTCACAAAAACTAAATTCGAACGGCACACTCCAACGAGACACAAGGGAATTTGATGCAGCCTTTTCTCAATTCCTTCAATTTCTGTTGTGCAATTTAAGGTACAAATGTCCAAATTGAACGGAATTGGAAAGACTCACCAGGAGCGTATATTTGTTGTAGAACTTAAATTAAAACTTCGCTCGCTTTTTTTTACTATGAACAAATTGCTCGAGAAAATTCAGATATTCAATGAATGAAAGTTCCATCGTTCAGTTTAACTGTAACCAAATACCTCACGTTTCAACTTTCTGGGTACTTTTTGTGAACTATTAAAATTAATTGCAGACGGTTTTTAGGCCGCTTGTCAACCAACGTAATGACACTATTGTTTATACAAATTCATTCTGAAACCAATATTTTTCTGTCAACCAAAGTGATTTGATAGAGAGAAAAGAGAGGATTCATAAGTTATTTATCGGCTTGAGGTAGTGACCGACGTGTTTGCTTAAAAATACTATATACTATGAAAAATGACAACGAAAGTTGGGATGTACTCGGCGACTCACGAAAGCGTTACCGTGGCCCGTGGGCAGAGATAGGAAAATACTGACCGGGTAAAGAACCAATCAGATTGCAAGATTCGTTACCGTGCCCTCTAAAAAAACAATAAATACATATACCAACATGTGTTTATTTTAGCGGGACTGCTTCGTCCCCCAACGCATCTTTAATTGGCAGCCTCTTGGACGCCTCCCTTTGTCGACTCTCCTCCTCTGCTAACTCTTGGAAAGCCTCCTCGTCCGATTTATCAGCAGAGTCCTCGTCCGAGGTTGACTCTTCGGTGCTTTTTTCGTTTAAATTGGGTACTATTACCTACGTGTTACGGGCAAAGTTTGTTTTAAAACGCCTTTTTTTAGCGGCCGTAGCAGGGGATGTAAAACTATTGTCATTTTTGCATCAAATACCTCTCCAGATGGCTTTCTTTAGGTGAGTTTTTCGAAAAGCAAATATGCCCCCTGATGTAAAAGTCTTCTCCTTTAATATTTTCATCTTCCTTTTTTTTCTCTTTACCATGTCTACTATGACAACGATTTCCTCAAGATTTTGTGAAATTTAAGATGAGAACGGTTTCGTGATGTTTATTACTTGCCTTCTTTAATTGGCGGAAACCTGCATGATTGAGAAAGATTCCTTCATGGTTTTTTGATAATTCAAGAAGTTCGGATTATTGTTTGCACGATACCATCATGCAACAAATGAATATTGCAATTGCATAGATTCAGCAAACAGTAGGTTAAAAATACATGAAATAATTGTTTAATGCCTGAAGAGCTGAAGAAGAAAAAAATTAATATTTGCTTATATTGAGCCGCTCCATAACAAGTGACAATCTTTTCTCTCATTGAATGGCCATCGCTTTCCTGTATCAATCAATTATTTAACAACACTCCTTTGTTTTTTTCTCTAATGATAATTGTGAACATATCCATGCATGCCGAGCTCTTTAAATTTACCCCGTGGAGGTTTAGTTATGAAAGTTAGAGCGAGAGCGTTGTTACTATTTCTTGTTCGCATACAAAACCAGACCTAATCGAGACTAGAAAGCAAAAACAGGTTGAAAATGAAGAACGAGCCTGTTTTAGTTTTCACCATTCTTCACATGTTATTTATGGACTCCTTAAACAACTGCGGAGCAGTGAGAGGTGAGTTCGACTAACGCCGAACGGTTTAAAGGTGTAAGAAACTTAAACATCAACCAAGGATGTCAACGGAATCAGTTCATATTACGGATAGCAGAGGTATTTTAAACCCACATAATTGCAGCTCTAATCAGCTAAACACGATGACTGTTAAGGTGGTCACAGCCATCAATTCCATCAGGTAAAACAGATACGCCAGCAAATTTGATCTATAGGCGTCAAAGTGACGTGAATTCTTTGGGATACTAGAGAAATGAAAAAAACATGGAGAGTGAATTGACAAGTCTATGGCTGGGAGAGTCTATGTTATTCCCAAACTAACATCTCTCTACATGTTGTCATCACTTCTCAAAGTTACTTTACAATACACGACGTTTATTTCCTATGCTAGATTTACATTCGTTGATGATTTAAAGTTTGGATGTTAATAAACTCGGTACATTCTTTTTAAACCTTTTCTGGTAATTTTTGCAAATGTCTAGGCAGTTTGAAGGTTCTCCTTCGCCGTTTCAACGCCTCGGTTAACATAAGTTCATAAATAAAATGAAAACCGAAAATACTCGAAAATAATGCATGGTATTTTGAAGAAAGACAATATAACAAAACACCTGCCATTTAGGCCCTCGCAGAACTGATGATGACTAATAAAAGGTAATCGGGGGGAATGTGAACATCTTTAACGAGCACAATCGCGGTTTTCATATGGAGGTTCATATTTTGAACTCGTGGATGACATTGCCAAAGCCTCTTTCTGTGCCCTAATCTTCCAATGTGATGACAGCAGATGACTTAAATTCTTTGAAAGAAATGGTATTGACTGAATCTTATGCCTGTCGTGCAGTGATATATTATTCATTGAAATTCACAGGTTCTTCCATCAGAAAACAGTGTTTTTTTATCTTGAGAATTAACGTTTGACTATAACTTCTTGTAATGGCATACATCCCCTGTATCATGACAAAAACAAAAATGAGGATAATATCGATTAATAGATTACATAGCTAAACCAAATTGAGCCAGGCAATTCATGAAAAGTCCTGCAAAGGCCCCTATATACTTCAGACGTACATAATGATAAGTGTTCCCTAAAGAAAATTTGAATCCATGGAGATGCAAATGAAGAGTTGAATAAACTAATTGCAAAGAAGCTGGACGGCTAAGTAGTAAACATAAGTCACTTAAGCATGTCTCTTTTATTCTAAGTAACTCGCAACGTATTGAAAACTGAGGGTGAGTTCTTTAAGTGCACAACATGAGGTAGCAGACTGACGGACGCCAAAATGACGAGAAGTGTATATACGAAATCGTTATAGGAAAAGCGTGTAACACGCATTTGACACGCGTGCACTTTTTCGACTCGCGCCCAAACTTGTTTCTAGGCTATACCTATATTATTTGATTAGTCAGTAATGTTCAGGTGTGACTGAGAACACGTTTTCATACGCACGTCGATTTTTTTTCCCAAAATGAGTTTTGATGTTCCACCACGGATCAATTTTCTATAAATTGGTGCCACCAGACCAAACTAAATTAGAGTTAGAATGCCTCGATATGTTTAATTGTCGAAAATGATGCGAAAACTTTCTACTGTCTTTGTAGGTTGCAGACAAATCGTTTTTGAGCATCGCTGGAAAAATAAGGCTTTGCAAGGCCACACGCTAAGAACCGTCAGAGCAAAAGACAATGAAGATTGTAGATTGAAATGTTACCTGGAGGACAACTGTGTTTCAGTTAACTATGCGTCTACAGGGAAATGTGATCTTAACAACAAAGACCATACCCAGAAGCCAAACGATCTAGAGGATGTGATTAACTACACCTATTCATTCATAGAAGTAAGTTTAACTTATAAATGATTTTGTTTATAGAATTGTCACTTAGTTTGCAACATTTGTTAAGATGGCTAAAAACTCTTTGATGGATCAATAAATATCACAATCAATTTTCGCCTGTTTTCTTGAAAATAGTGTGAAAAGAATGTCAACTTATCTATCATACATTTTGATCAATTTTATGACACATTAGGTTACCATAGAAACAGTGCCGACATCGATATGCCTATCAATCAGAAATGGTCCTAATAATCTTAAATTTTAAATCATTAAATTGCAATTACTATACTATCCTTCATTTTCTACCAAGCTGGAAAAAAATATGTATATAGGTTTAAAACCGCTCCATTTCCTTGGTCGAGAGGCCTAGAAATCTTCAAACTATTGCCATACTACAGCAGGGGCTTGAAAATTGCCACTGACAAAGTGTGAGAAACGCGCAAAGAAAGAAACACGCAATCAATGCATAAGTTGTGGTCTACTTGTCAACTTGGTCCAAGTCGACCTCGCTCGTATATCAGGAAAACCTAATAGTCAGGTTTGTTGAATTTGTTAAAGTTCGCTGCCAAATTACCGGACTTTTGACCAGAAAATTTCAGCTGATTAAAGATTCCCTCTCAGTAACTCAGTGCAGGTATTCCTATCATTGAATCTATTGTGAGATTTAACTGACGGCTCTGTTTAATCATCTCCACGCTTCCTCAAAAGTAGGTACCTTCATAAGTTTGCTTTTAAGTTATGAGTAGGTAGTAAATTCTCGAGTCATATCACTCTGATCACATATCACTCTGATCACTCAAATCCCAATCAGAATTCTACTATCTTTTTTCGGAAGCAGCCACTCTGGCATAGTAATGAAGCGATATTTTAGAGTTAATACGATTTCAAACCTTAGAGCACTTTTCCATTTAGCCAGTGTTTTATAACAAAAACTAACACAACTGCAACAGCCAATCAGAGCAAATAATTAAATTTACAAGGAGCCAATGAGGACTCAAATAACAACAAGTAACCTGCCTGTGGAGCAGTAAAACGCGAGTGACGAAGGTGTGATTGATTTTAGTTTTGACGGAACTGATTGGTAGAGAGAATGGCGCGAGTTTTTTGGACCAATCGCAGAGCAAAGTGAAGAAAAATCAACGCAGTCGAGGATTACTTTCCACACAAACTGTTGAGTTAATTAGTCCACCGTCAGGAATCGGATGCTCTATCAGTTCCGATTTCGTTATCAGTAGCTGTAATGAGCTCCAGGAAACACGATAACGAGCTCTGTCATTACTAGGACCATAATTGACAAACATTCAGCATACACTGGTTGAAATATCGGACGTGTCCCGGCTGTCACGGAAGCTCTCATTGCTTAGTCTCTGCACTATCAGGGGCTACTGAACAGGTTTAATTCTAGCGATATGTTTAGTATCAGGTGCCAAGACATGATGAAAACAGTTTTTAAGGCAATCCAGTTTGAAACGATGTCGAAGTACATACGTGGTCTTTTTCTAATGGGAAATACTGAACGCAACCTACAAGGATCAAGGAAACTTGTTATCCCATACGTTAACACAACCACTTATGGTCTTCATTCCTTCAGATACACTTCTGCAAACATGTGGAACAAACTAGTAGAGGACCTAAGGTCATTAATTAACGTCTTTGAATGAGTTCAGAGCTAAAATATGCCAAATTTCTTTCGAACATTAATGCAATTGTTACTTATGTAGATAGTAGTTAATGTATTGTATATAACGTATGATTTTATTTTTATGTTTTTTCTCTTTCTCGGAGAAATTAGCTATACAGCTACTCTTGTAAATCCAAGGTGAAATAAAGGTGATGTGATGTGAAAAAATTGTTGTGTTCATCTACAGAACCCTTGCGCCAGTTCTCCTTGTCAGCATCCCAGTGTTCTTTGTCAAGCCGGTTTTACTGACCGAGGGTACAGATGTGTATGCAACAAAACAGGATTCGCTGGCGAGAAGTGTGAAAAAGGTATAGCACATTCAAGACATATTTGAAGAACGGAAAAACCATTACAGAAAAGGTTATGAGGACTTGAAAGAAAAAAAAATTAGAAACTTCAATGTCTGACGCACGTAAAATAAAAATTGACCACTCTCTAAAGGGACTTTTCGGGGCCAATGTAAATATCAGTTCTGGTCATTCCGTTACAAAGTTGTTTCGCCGCAAGTCTAAATCAATTTTCGCAAAATCAAAAGTCCTTTCGTCATACACGTAGGTGGTTTCGCTCCAAGCGTGGGTGGTTGAACTTTTTTAGACACGACGGAATGTCTAGTTGCGTCGCAGACATGAAACAAGATTTGTTTAATGAAGTTTGAGTTTGGTGTGAAGTTGAAGTTAAACAACTTTTGATTTGTGTCAAATGGCCTTCTGATTAGAAGCGAGTTGACTTCGAACTGTCAAGAGAAACGGCTTTGTGGCGAAACGACATTAAAAAGTTGGTATACTAATGGTAGGGGCCTTAACTCTGTTAACTCCAAACTGCAACAAATTTTCACTTCTTTAGAAACAGGAGTGACACATAAGTAAATGAACACAATTAACTTTTTATATCTATAGCTGTCCTCCGTATTTTTATCAAATCGTTCGGCACCAAAGACCGACCAGGTGGTGGGAGTATTTTTGGTGATACGGTCATCGAAGTCAACGGGATAAATCATCGCAAAAGGGTAAGTATTCTTGCGTTTGTGTTATGTTACCTAGTTCGCCTCTAGCAACTGAAACTCCCGAGCTTGATGCGATTTGGTACACTAGAGAGATGTTTCCTTGATACACTTTGACCGCGAGTTTCCATTCATTCCTAGTCTAGTCCGTCGAGCGGGAGAAAGTGAAAAACACAGACTTGCATTATTCAAACCGTAAGCGAGATCTGAAAGCGCGCTTGAGAAAGAGAGTCTCCGTACTAGCAGAGTATCCTTTCAAGATGAAATAACTAGACCTGAATTTCAAGCATCTGCGGAATAAGACGATCGATGATTGATCATTTTTTATAAAGAGAGAGAGAGAGAAAGAGAGAGCAAACGAGCTTTGCTATCTTTGATAGTTTTTCATCGGTCCCATCAATCACTCTTTCTACTGAGTGGGTACAGAGGAACAAAGGGGATGCATTATTACAACTGGGGAACAGGGGATAAATATTAAAAAAGTGGGAACAGGAGATACATATTACAACAGGGGGAACAGGGGATACAAATTACATCAGGGGGAACAGGGGATAAATATTACATCAGGGGGAACAGGGGATAAATATTACATCAGGGGGAACAGGGGATACAAATTACAACAGGGGGAACAGGGGATGCATTATTACAAGGGGAACACGGGGATGCATCTTCACAACCAAATTTTATTGCAATAATCCAAAGGGTAGTCAGACTAATCGAGGCACATAATTAGAAAAGGGCCGAAAATTTTAATGTGTTTGGAGCATTGTGAATTGGTTTTAATGATAATGTAAATGTACTGACGGAGTGATGTTGAGGTGATGTTTCACAATTCAAACATAAGTTAATGGAATGAATTCTTGCTTACAGAGAAGAGGTCACAACATCGTAACAGTTTATCCAGGCAACGGATCAATTCACGCGAGTGAGAGCTTCGACACCTTCGCCAGTGGACCGGCAACTGAAGACATGACCGCATTTATCAACAATTTACCGGAAAATGTAATGGTACTGATTACAGTGCACGATTCTGCAAATGTCGGTGTCATGAACACCATCCCAGGCGCTGAAAGTGCCCTGCGCAGTGTTGGAGCCGTAGACCCTGTGTTCACCCGGGTGCGCGAATCATGGCTGCTTATTGGTTACAAAGGTGCAGATAAGCCCACGTGGATTCAGCAAAGACACGCAGCTAGGAACCTGGGACCAGTTTCAATTGGAACTGAGATTATTTTCTAAATATATTCTTATTCATATGTAAGTGATTTTTAAGCAGAAAAAAAATTTCATATAAATAAGCTTCAAACGGTGCTGCATCTTTCGAATAAAATTTTTTAGAGCCCATAACGCATGGTCTGACAGCCGAACGCCTTTAAAATACAAGCGTTTTTGTTGAATAGGTTTCTCTTTCAAAGTTGCAATCACTGTGAGATTTCTATTAAAGACGCTTTACAAAGGATGAAGTGTAGGTTTTAGACCCTTAGTAGTTTGAAGAAAAAATATTTAGGTATATATGGTTAGTAAAGTTAGAATTTCAGGTAATGGTACGAAGCTGCAAGTTGTAAGTGGCATCGTTAATTCAGAATATAATGTTGTAGATTGTAAGATGTGTTATAACACTAAGTAAATGTAGATTCTGTAAATAATCTTATAAAAGAAATAAATAAAAGGATGAAGTGTAAAAGCCCTCCAAACGATTTTGAAAAAGCGATAGATGAGAATCATGTTAATATCTGATACCTGCTCTTTATAGTTAGGATAGAAAATGACAAGATTTCATTTTTAAAGTAGTTCTTGACAACGTCAACGATTGACCGTCTATCAAGAGATGTCAACATTTCAAAGCATCACTAAACATTCGTGAGGCCAAAAACGGTGCAAAAAAAGTGCATATCTCTCTTAATATGTGCTCATGAGTGACAGCTGCCGCTAAGATATCATAAAAAGTGAATTATAAAAGTTTTAGGATAGATGCCTATATCTATTATAATAATTTTCGAACAATTTTTGTGAGAAGTTTAAAGAACATGTCTGTGGTCGTTTAATTAAAAGTGCACATGGAGAGGATATAGATAGTGAAAATAGGACATCTTACTTTTAGGAAAGTCTATTTACGAACTTCGATCACAAATCCAATCAATAAATTCCTTCGTCAGGTACTCTGATGGAGTGATAATCGCTAACCTCCCAGTGTGAGTACTTCTGGAAAGGACACACTTATGTAAGGGGAAAGCAATTGAAACTACTACAAAATATGGCACAATAATTGCCCCCCTATAGTTCTGCCTCCTGCATGAAAGCGACCTCCATAACTACCATTTAAGGTGGTCGGTCACAGGGAGGCTGGCCTGTATTTCGGAAATTAAACCTCAATGCGGAAAGGCTGACCGTGAACCGCCCGTTGGTTTCCCTTAAAGAGGAAAGATGAAAAAAGGGGAGGTTGGGCCAAGTTTCCTGCGATAGGAAGTGAATACTGGCTTATGCAGCGTACTTTGTGAAAGGCCACTTAAATGTGTTAGTAATAGATTGGTCTGGAATGAATTTTCTAGACTTACGAGTAATTAAACATGTAGCAGATTCTCAGAGAGTTTATGATCTGGTTTCTGTGGTTTTGTTAGTTATATGCCATTGCTTTTGCTTTTCGTTCACAAGTCTTAAGGCCTTCGGTACTTCAAACTCTTGTTAAGTATCTAATACCCCACCCTTTCCCACCCTTTTCACGATCTGAAGTGGTGACCCAAGCTAATATTACACGACCTTTCAAGAGGGATTAAATAGAAAGTTTTCAATATTTCTTACAGAACTACTATGCGATATATCAACATAGAGTCTTCATGATCTAAGATTTCACGCGAAATAATACTTAGGTAACCGTTTTCTTTGCGAGTGTTAACGAGCTCATTAACTTAAGCATGCATGTAAAATGAAATCGATCTTTCTGAAGACTAAGGTTTGAATATTCTTTGGTTGTGCGGGAGGTAATTTACATCACGCAAGGAACCCGATGAATTAAAACCGAGTTTATTGACTGAAAAATATTTCAGGTGACAAACAACTTAAAATGACAAGGAGAGATAAGAGACTTCTTCATCCTACGACCTAAGAACCGCATCATCTAATAACCGTTTGCTAGTACACTAAACATTTAAACTAAGTGCATTCACCTTGAAACTAAGTTTTACTCGGTATGGTAAAATTTCAATACTGTTCCGTGTTTTGATGTCCCCTACAGGTCAATTCATATTGTTTTGAAACTCCTTTGTCAATCAAAACTACACCTGGGCATGATACAGGACCTTGTAGTAAGAACTAAGTTACTTAAGTAAGTAATTATCAACTATATGTTTAAAAGGTAACGTGAGTAGTCAATTTTGACTAAAAATAGTCTACTGATGATATTTCATGTCAAGACCGTAAACCGGTTTTTTAACAAGAGAAAATACATTGACGTTTTGAATGTCCGCAGTGTGCTGGTTTTCTAAGCTCAGCTGGAAACTAAAATAAACCACGTCTTGATTATAACCTCTTAGCAAGGACGAGGGGGTTAAATGAACAGGGCATCTTTATAAGCGATCCTTTAGGCCACATTACTTTAAGGATTACGATAAACTACTGACAGCTTCAGCTTATGCGCTTAGCCCTCTGACTTTCCTGTCGACGTAGCATTTCAGTTTCCTGTCATCTCATCAATCCTCTGAGCCAGTTGAAAAAAGTAAATCACAAAGCTTTAAAGGAAATCCTTCAAGGAAAGTGAGATACCTTAATCACCTAATCTCAAATTCTGCTAATTTAGAAACCTCGTGCAAGAAATGGCAATAAGAACGAAAACGAGGCTGCAGAAGTCACATTGCTCATGCGCATGGAGCTATACCTCTCAGATTCTTAGTTGACAGGAGAGATGGGGAAGATTATTGTCCAAAACCTTGGTGTTTGACGCGATAAAATATCTCCCCCGTCTTAAAACGTTTTCAAGAACACTATTCTGTTTAACATTGTAAAACTTCTCGACCAATGTTGATACATAGCTAGGTCTTCTGTTGATAAACTCGATTTAGTGGGTTGTAGTAATCTTTTTAAAGCTCTCTACAATTTTGCAAACTCTCACTTGGTTGGGAAATTAGCTAGACAAAAGGCTTTGTAAAGCAGAAAAGTTTATCCTTGAGAATAACAGGATAAATCTATGGTACCAATGTTCAAGAATATTCAACAGCAAAGCCTGTCATGTGTTCAAAGTCGCTTCATGTCTCTATTAGTGACTATATTGAACTCACTAAAAACAAAACAATGTCAAAATGCTCTCTGTTACACGTATTTTTTTAATTTTCTTTTCCCCATTCTTCAATACATAGCTCACAAGCTGTCAACCATGTAATAACATGATAATCTTAATTTTTTTTATAATACAAATAATGATTTCTAGCCTAGAATAGACCGGAATTAAAAGACAATACGCGTGATCGTTAAACTTACATAAACAAATGCAATTTGCGGTTTTCAAGTTGTGTTCATGAATTAATATCAATAGTACGCACGCAACACAAAAGTGCGCCGTCGATAACAGACTAAGAACGAAAGACGGAATGTCTTGTTCCAAATTTCCCTCTTCATACTTCATCATATTACTCCACCAGAATCTGGCAAACCTTTTTCTGAGATAATATGTAGCCTGAATTCTCTGAATTCAACTTTGTCAGATTAAAATTAAATTATCATAATCCAGACGTTAGATATAAATTATGTTCTCGCCCCTAATTCATCTCTTTGTTCTATCTTAAACTTGAGCGGAAAGTAAGCTTTGTACGTCAAAGCTACCTCTTCTTCGTTCTCTTTCATGCTCAGAAGAAGATTGTTCGACTGTTTCACAATCAATCTCTCTTTCTCTGTGTACGTCTCTTTCGTGTTGTTCATATCTAGGTGGAGATGTTTCCCTTTGAGCGAGCACACTCGGCTTTGGTTCTTCGCTAAAAAGTGCAAAGTAACGGTGTGAATCGCTTAGGAGTCGCTCTGATTTCAGATCCAGCTTGAGACATTTACCAGACCTTCTTCGGCGGTAGTCCCCATGTAAGAAATCTTCGTAGTACATAGGGCAAATCGTCCAGAAATGTCCCTTACCGTTTGGACTGCGACCAGCTTTGATAAAGCAGTCATTCAGAGAGAGATTATGGCGAATGCTGTTTCGCCATCCGCTTCCTTTGGTCCTGAAGTATGGATACCGTGTCAAGATATAGCTGTAAATGTCACTAAGGACAAGTTTCTTCTCCGGTGAGCCAAGGATTGCTTCTGCAATGAGCCCAATGTACGACTGGCTAGGTTTCTCGTACGACCTAGCTAAGGAACTTCCCGAGGGGAGGAAGAAACCGCAGCTTCCCAAGGAAGGAACTGTAGGCCAGAAGCTTGTGTAATCGAGCGGGGCGACGGCTGCTGGTGCGGGAGGACCGTGACAGTTCAGCTTGGAGTGTGGTAACCCCCACGAGTACCACGGTCCAAGTTCAAACGCTGTTGGAACAGCGCTGGGCCATGTTACTGTGCTCACAGATGGCACAGACGGAAAATAATCTGAGGCTTTCTCGTAGCTCGATACAGGACTAAACGCTGACATGGTTTTTCTGCAAGTGATTTCCTGGATGAACAAGCAATAACAGACAACTTTCAGTACAGATATCTCAGTCAAGTAGTGTTTAGACTGCTTTTCAAGGCACTGTAACGTTCGCTCTTAGCGCTTCAGTTTATAAACGCTCGGCCAGGCTATCACGTGACCGAGCCAATATGGCAACTTTCGAGCGGTCTTTTGTTCTTACGGAGAGGTGGATAATCGTGGGAATTGCAACATTACGACCACATGCGGAGAATATTTATAGCGTTTATATTTGAAGTGGGAACAAGAATGTGATCCCCGGGGTTGCACGCATGGGTACCACTCAACATCCCCGTCAATGGAAAAACTCGGATGACAACATTTTTCAATTTAATTTTGTGTTTTTTACTTTTCCTAAGACGCAGATTAACACAACAGGAGTTTTTGAGAATTGTTTTGGCTGGCTTGCGTGTTTGTAGTCTTTGCCCCTATTTTCCGAGTAATCCCCCCTCGTGGGTAATCTATTTATCATTCGTAAGCAACATCACTAAACCGAATGCGATAAGTGCTTTAAAAAGTGTGTATATTTTGATCTTTTACTTGGTTTTATCCATTTAATTAGTGCATTGTCTAGAAAATTACAAGTCTGGCATTTAAATCCAGGAAACAAAGAATGACTTTTCGCACGTTTTTTCCGCGTTAATGAATTCTAGAAATAGTAACAAGGTTATTTTTTCTTGATTTCAAAATAAACGCCTAATTCATTGCCTTTAATTCTGTGTTATTTAATAATTTCAAATTTTCGTGCCCAGCTCACTACGTTAACATCGTTTTAATATTTAACGTTAAAATGATCTCAGAATTACTTCATAACTACGTTGTATATTATGAGACCGCACTCAGATGTCAGGAATATCCTGATCCAGCTGCGAGAGATAGTTAGAAAGTGCTTTCACTTTGTTGATATCTCCGCACGCAACAGGAACAAAGCGTTGCTCGGCTCGCATACGAATATTTATCAACCGAAAAGATAAATTTCGTGATGGCTGATAAACAGAATCCATGCAATGTACACTTCGTGAGA